GAAATGCCCGAGGGCCCCGTAGAGGGGCTGGGGGGAAGCCGAAAGCCCCGGCGCGGGCAGCCGGGCCCCCACCAGAGCACGTCTGGGGGGGGGCTGCAGACTCCCCAGGAGGGGCTGCTGGGGCTGGGACCCTCGAGAGGGGTTGGGGGTGTTTTGGGGTGCTAGGAGGAAGCGGGGACCTCTGGGAGAGGGGTTAGGCTGGAGGCTGGGACCCTAGAGACGCAGGTGGGGGCTGCAGCCTGGGTTGGCAGGGTGGGACTAGATGGGATGAGCCCCCCCTTGGGGAGGGGGCTCATCTCCCCTTACAGGGGCAGAACTTGGCTGGGGGGCAGGGCAGCCTGGGCTGGGGCTAGGACGAGGTGGAAGGGATACATCGGGTCCTCCCAAATGGCATCTGGCAGTGTCAGGGGCAGCTGAGGTCAAGGCTCCTCCGAGATACCCGTGGTGGGTGCGGGATGGGAGACGGGTCCTGCTGGGGAGCTGATGATGATCAGAACAGCTACACCCTTTCCTCAGGGTAAACCCTGGAGGGCCCCGGGCTTCTGATGCGCTGTGCCAGGGCTGGTTGTCATTGCTGGCTCTGTGTGGCAAAGATAGGTTTACTTTTGGTGTGTGCTGGCTCATCCCAAGCATCAAACAACTCCTGCAAGGCTCCCGCGCTTCCCTGGACATGGAGCACTTTGGAGCCTTGTGCTCACAGACCCTCTTTGATCCAAGGGTCTCGAAGCACTTGGCAGAGGGTGGATAAATATTGTCCCAGCTTTGTTGCTGGAGAGACCAAGAACAGGGGAAAATAACTCTGGAGTCAGGGAGAGGTCTCTGGAGTCAACATGGGCTTGTTCCCACAGACGGCTCTGCTGTTTGCTTTTACCGTTAGGGCAGGACTTGCTCTAAAAAGGTGTGTGTTGCCACGCTTAGAGAGAGGTCAGGGGACCTCCCTGCCCGCTGCAAGGGACCTGGAGCTTTGCTCTGCGTTTTTGGGTCCCAGCAGCCCCAGTTGAAGCCACCCTTGGAGCTGGGGGTCTGTGCAGACAGACAGACAGAGTGCCTGTCCCGGCGAGGGCTGGGACACGTTGACAGGATGAGGAGGAGGAGAAAACCCAGCGACGTTGGCTGACTTTACCGCCGCTTCCTGCCCTCTGCTCTGCTACCATAGATGGTCACGTCTGCCGCTGCGCGGGGTGGAAGTGGGGCCTGTCCACTGCCGAGCGCCTGAGCGGAGATTGGGCTCCGTCTGTGGGATCCCAAGCAGGGCAGGCGGGAGTGGAGCCAAGCCTGGGATCAGCTGAGGGCTTGGGAGCGGGATTGCTGGGAGTGTGGCTCTGCTGACATCTAGTGAGGTTGTCTCCTTTGGCTTTGCACTCCCTGCGAGCTGGGGAGGTGTTCAAAACCCTTTGAGGGTTTGAATTTTCTGAGCAGTCAGTGGGTAGGAGTGGTGCGTCTTCTTGGTGAAGACGCAGCTCACCACTATGCCCCCTCCCCTCCGTCTAAATCCCCTGGCTCCCAGCCCTGGCGAAGCACATGGAGCTGAGCGGGACCTGCACCACTGCCCTCACGTTGTCCTTCCCAGTTAGGCTGAAGGCTATAGAGATGAGCAGCTCCCTGAAGTCACCAGTGCCATTTGCCTGGTTTTCTTGGCTTGTTTTCCACCCTGCCAACACCTGATCTGCCTCTTGCAGCTGTCTCCATCATGATCAGACACCTTAGGATCAATTGACATGATGCAAAATAGAAAATAAGATACAATCACTTCTTTTCTGTGCAGCCAATGACTTATATTTTATAGCATCCTATAACAGTCACAGCAGGGAAGCACCAGCCATGTCCTGCCTCGCTGGTACAGGGGCAGTGGTAATCCTGGGGGGCAGCACAGGCAGGAGCCATCGACCTGGGCTGCATCCACAAGGAGGAAGTGAGACCGGGAATAGGAACTAGAAATAATGGGAGAACAGGGAGAGGGAGAACTCTGCTCACTGGGCATATCGCAACCCAGCCCCAGGCCAGTGTGTTTACTTCTGGGGTGGGTCCGTTCAGCCAAACGTTGTTCCTAAGGGAACAAAGATCAAGTTCCTGGTAAGGCTGGGTCACGGAAGAGCTGCGTGTTTACAGGAGGGCTGTAAACCAGGTCAGTGCTCTGTGGGGGATCCCAGCACCCATAAATTATGCCAGCCCATGGCCGGCACTGTCCCGTCTCCAGGGAAAAGCTTACAGCTTCCCCACGCTGCTGCCAGGTGGCTGGTGCCTTGTTGCCCTTTCCTCCAAGCACCATGGGAATATTTACTACATTTTTTTAGCCGTGAAATGGCTAAATGCGTTTTTGTCCCCTAGACAGCGCCCTTTGGCTTGTTGCAGCCGAAGGAGAGCACTTGTCCCTGCTCTGTTGTGGTGTCAGGAGGGCACTTGTCCGAGCTCCAGCCCAGGTCCTTGTGATGCTCAGCAGCTTCCAACTCCTCCGAAGGAGCAAACACAGTCCTGGCAGGGGCTAAGGCAGTCCTGTGCTTTCAGAGCTCCCTGAGCCATATCTGGTTAAAGCTAAGCCTGAGTGCTGGCCTGCACACAGCATTTCATTTCCCAGCAAAGCAATTTAAAGCTTCATTCCTGGGAAAAGGGATTTTTTATTTTTTTTTTTGGTTAGCAGGAATCCATCTCCCTGTCCCATCAGTTTCTGGCCATGCACTGCAGCGCTTTGGCTGCCTACATCCTTGGAAACAGTGGGTTTGCAAAACATTAACTAAAGCCCACCAAAACAGGTCGGTAAGCCTTCGGTCCCTATTTGCAGATAAAAAGTGAGTGACCTCAGCCAGGTGGCACAG